AGAATTGCATTACAAAAATGAGGGACAGAATAGAAATAATATTGCTTTACCAGGATTTGTTCCACAATGTAGCATTAAACTGATCTAGCTCCACTGAGACAAGCAGGGGTCCCTGTCAATAGCTATTTCTCATGTTTTTTATATTTTAAGTTTTTAACATTTACAAAGAAAGTCAACATTTCAAGAAACTGTGAGATGTGTGTACAATACTGTTATATTAAAACACAGTAGTAGAATCATGGAGGGGATTAGATCGTTAATACATTATTTTAAAAGTTGTGGGGTCATTTAGTGGTAGAATTGCACAACTACACCAGCACTGGAGAATATACTGCAATAATAATACATCTTTATTTATAAAGCACTCTTAAAAACAAGGTTTACAAAGTGCTGTACAAGCAGTAAAGAACAATACAAGTTAAGTTTGGGATGTAATATGTGCAAATCTGCTGTTGTGAATCTGCAGGGGAACTGCTCTGCAGCTTTGTCTGTTTGCAAGTTTGAGGTAATTTGAGTTTGAGACTCAAGGCACTCCAGTTACAAAAACACAGTGGAAGAATCATTGAGGGAAGCCCTAAACTCTCTTAATCTGAGGTGATGGAAAGGTCATTTTGTTCAAAGTGATAAGTGAAGGATGAGCCATCACTGGCTGTGTTTGCATTCACACTCAAAACCAGATTGCTATCACACCTTTGGAGCTAATAGGTTATGAAAATGAAATGTAAATAGCAAAATCATGTAACTTCTGTCTGATCATGGTCCCTCTAATTACTTACATCAAACTGTGCAATGCGCATGTTTAAGTGTATTTGTAAAGGTCTAGATCAGATATTAAATTAGATTTTGGTGAGCTTGTAAACGCAGCCACTGAAATGAACAAATCTGATTACATGGTTGTGTCTGAGCTGGACTTAGGCCTGTCATGATAACCCATTTTGACAAACAAATAAAACCAATCCATAAACCAGAATTATCTCTAAAAAGTATTTTAAATGTACAATACTGTTGCAATAAATACATAACAGAATGCAACACTTAGGTAGTAAGTTTGTATCTATAATGAGTCACATAATCATAATCATATGAAATCTTATCCACCAACATTTTCCCACTAGTACAAAGAAGAAGAAGCACCAATAAAAACTGACCACATAAAAATATTGTTCCACCTATAATGCACTGAATGATAAGTAAGTAAACTAATTAGCCTAACAGGCCTAGACCGACTCATATCCATACTCTCTCTCATAGACTCTATATATAAATGGACATAGCTAACCCGATAGCTGCCACGTTTGACTGACTGATTAATTTATTTTGGTCATAGTTTTATTCTGACATTCCACAGACAGTCATATTGAACATACACAGACCGAAAAGGTGCAGGCTGAAGCTTGAGCTTTTTATAGCATCATCTTGACACCAGTTCACATTCATAAATATGCAAGTGGAAACAAAACAAATTAGTAACAGTATAGCAAAGTACTATAGCACAAACCAAGTATCATAATTCATGAATCTTCACAGAGTTAAACATTTAAACTTCTTTTTAAAATGGAAGAGAGTGGTGCACAATTTCTGGTCTCTGTTCCATATAGGAAGTGAGCATGGGGGCAACTCTGGCTCCTAAAGGACTATATTATATCCTATATGACTATGGTATTGACTTTACATATGACTTTACTGTTACCGTGAGCCTCATAATTTTTTTATCTTAAAATGTCAGAATTAACCCACTCTACACAATCCTGGCATTTTTATTTCACTTTCTTGTCTGTTATTACACTCCTATTCCTAATATCCCATATAACTGCTGGTCGTGTGAGCTTCATTTGACTGGATCCGAAAGCTATGAGTGATGTCACACTTAGTCCACTGCTTTTTACAGGTCTAAATCAGAACTAAACCAAGACTAAACCAGAACTGAACCTGGACTAAACCGGTCTCAGTCTCAGTTTAGTCCAGGTCTGGTCCCAGTCTCAGTCCCGGTCTCAGTCTCAGTCCTGGTCTCAGTCCTGGTCACAGTCCCAGTCTGGTCCCAGTCTGGTCCTGGTCTGGTCCCGGTCTGGTCCTGGTTTGTTCCCGGTCTCAGAACTGATCACCTGACAGTCTACGCAGGCGCACCTTTGGGCCCATCCCAACACTCAGTCCTGGTTCAGTTCTTTTTTACTTCTTGTTATTCCTGGTTTAGACCTGGTTAAGTTCTAGTTCAGCTCTGGTTTAGTCCTGGCTTATCTCTGGTTCAGCTCTGGTTTAGGCTTGGTTTAGTTCTGGTTTAGTTCTGATTTAGTCCTGGTTCAGTCATGATTTAGGTCTTGTTTAGTCCTGGTTTAGACCTGGTTAAGTTCTAGTTTAGCTCTGGTTTAGTTGTGGTTTAATTCTGGTTCAGCTCTGTTTCAATCTTGGTTCAGTCCTGGTTCAGTTCTGATTCAGTCCTGGTTCAGTCCTGGTTCAGTTCTGATTCAGTCCTGGTTCAATCCTGGTTCAGTTCTGATTCAGTCCTGGTTCAGTCCTGGTTCAGTCCTGGTTCAGTCCTGATTTAGTCCTGTTTAGTAATGTTTTAGTCCTGTTTTAGTGTATGTCGCTTTTAACACACAATATATTCCACCATAATTTGAACTCCTGGAAAACCATTTGATCATGATTCAATTATAATTTTGATTAATCACATAAGACTTGACTTTTTATGTCCATGTAACATTCACATGTGTCTGTGCTTTTGTGTACAGGGTGGGACCGTGTTGGGTTCTCCGGATACAGTCGTGGAGCTCGGAGAAACTGAAGTATCAGAGGAAATCTTCATGGGCTATCTTTCCTAATTGAGAGAAAGCACATACAGACATTTTATCATTTTTAAAAGGCCCATGTCACGTTATTTTATGATCTATGTTATAATGTTGTTTCCTCATTGCAAACAGACCATGAGTTGTGTTTTGTTTCATTCACACATGGTCATGCATGAAGCACTCTTCCGTGTTTTTAAAAGTCCATACACCTTCACTAGAATCATTTGGATAATTTCAGCTCTGGATTTGTTGATCTCTACTGAACTAAAGGTAAAATGTAGCTATTAACTGGAAAACTTCCACTTCATGACATCACAAGGCGGGTCAGAGTATTTTGAGCTTTGGAGATGTAGTTATTCAAACATGTGTGAATGAAAACACAATTCCAGGTCTGTTTTTGATGAGGTAACAACACTGTAACATGGCTTAAAGCTCAAAAGAGTCTTGTGTAATATAGGACCTTTTAATCTTTTAATAAATCAACTTTTCTTGTGTTTTTTGGTATTTTAAATTTGACTAGTTCCTAATCTGTGTTTTAGAGATGACAAATATTGCCTTTGTGAGCACAACTGCAACACCTTTACCAATGAAGTATCCCAGTTCCTGACAAGCAGAACAATTCCCTTTTACATCACTGACCTTCCATCTGAAGTCCTTTCCACGTGAGCATGAACTGCTTCCAGATTCAAATGCATGTTTTAAATGACACCTCCAGTTGCCCAAATGCTTAGAAGCAACTAACAGACTTGCAAAGGCTGGATGAAGATGAAATATTCTAATACTTGCTCTCATGTCTCCATAGACCATTTGGGCAGATGCTCTGGTCTATCCTGGATTCCACATATTGCCCCTCCTGGACGAAATGTCATCAATGAATGAAGAAATGTCTGACAAGAAAGGTGCAGCAGGGCCAAGAGTTCAAGGTTACTTCCAGTGTAATTGTCGTGACAGTCATCCCAGCCTGCTCCAGCCTGATACTTACCCGCTCCAGCCACGCTCCAGCCTGCAAGCTACTTCAGTAGAATAATAAATAATAAAATAAATTCACCTCTTCTTTTTTTCAGTTGGTCTGGTGTCCATTTTTTGGGTCCCTCCATTGCTGTGCCATCACAGTAATAAATCAACATAACAATGGATATTTTTAGTTTTTTATTGTGTGGGTCATCACAGCAAACCAGTCACACAAATCATTAAACTGCTGCCAATTTTATGTAATATTTTAATTTCAAATGTTGAATTTTCTACCCCACTACACTATTGTCTACAATGGAAGTAATCTTCAAACTATTTGATGTATTACATTTCAAAGATGCAGACTGATGAATGATGGGACTGTTATGATTCAGTTTAATTCTATTAGAGTAGTTCCTGTATCCACACACTCTCCCATATTTAGCTCCTTTGTGCAATATTTTATAACATTGTATGTTAGGCAATCACATGATACAGAAGACTATTATTATTATTTAGTGAGTTTTTGTTTTTTATTTCACTAAAATATTTCCGTGGCCATCTTATATTATACTGATTGCTTTTGCCAATTTTATTTATTAAGAAGTAGGCACTATTGTTACAAGGACTAATTGTGTTTCAGTAGCCCCAGAGTGTGTTCCAGACCTGAACACTTCTGTGCCTTCATTTTATTCTTGACTACAGTGCTTTCCTATGAAGTTGGCCAACACAGAAACAGTATATCAATGTATATGAAGCTTTTTAGATCCATCAATATAAACTATTGTAACTAAAATAAATCTTAAACTTTGATCTTAAGTGGTCTTAGAAGAAACATAAAAGATGCCTGCAGTATTAATACCTGATTTATTACAGTTTAAAAACATTTTATAACACATCAATGCCCCAACGTTTTTGAATTTTAAGTTTGAATGTTCAAGAATCTCCACTCCAAAGCTCCGTGCCATAATTACACATCTCCTCACTCAAACTTGTGTGGATATGTTTTTTGCTACAGTGCATATACACAGAATACATTTGGGCCTACTCTTTACTAGTTCTTGATACAGTGTATCTGATACTATATTTACAGTGAAATAGCAGGGAATAAATCTACAAAGAAGAAAAAGTGAACCGAAGTGTTCAAGTTTTGGGTCAATTACAGAGAAATGTCTCCCTCTGCTGGTGAAAGTAAACAACAACAGGCAGCACTCACACATCCTCCAGGCCGTCGGGGTCGCTGTGCCTCTGGGCCCTGGCGCGTGCCAGTGGAAGTGTGTCTCTGTGGTGTCGTTAGTTTCTGTCACCGCGTTGTTTACACTTTTACATTGGCTCTAAACCTGCTCCAAACACTAGCGGTCGCTCCCATCTCCGCTCCTCTGACACCCAGACTTCATCTGATTTTTGTGAATTAGACTACGTGTTCATGAGGGCGTGTGTGTAGCTCTCCTGGGCCGTCTCCAGGCTCAAGCCGGTCACTGCGCACTCATTGCATTCCCGGGGCAGTGACAGCCATGGCAGCGGCCACCGTGGTGGAGGCGGATCCGTCTGCGAGTGAATCTTCTGCCGCCTTCTCCGGAGTCGTGGGCCGGGGCTGGGACGAGTCTCAGCTGCGGCAGTACACCTTTCCTACCAAAGCTATCCCCCGGCTATCTCACGCTGACCCCCGGGCCGAGGCGCTCATCAACAACGAGGTAACGCCACAGTCTATGGCCACTGGGTAACGCCTTGACTCAAACGGGCTAGGAGTTGTCTGTTTCAGGATATGTTCACTATAACGTTAGGTGCTCTTGTTTTAAGAGTGTAAGGTGACCAAAAATAATTTGTGTTGTCAGCAAGTCATTAATATAACTTTACTATGTGTGTTATTACTGTAGGCTGCTCCTCTGAATGAAAATGAAAAGCCCTTATGAAAGTGAAAGTAAAATATTTACATAAATCTCATAGGAAGTCCAATGTACACAAACCTTTCGCCTACATACAAGAGTGCCCTACAGTATCACAGCGTAGCAGACAGCTGCAGTGAGCTTTGGGGGGATGCATGTGTCACACCCGTGTAGGCTCAGCCTCTGGTTTAACACTGATCCCATCACCTGTGCCGCAGCACCTGTCAGAGCAGCACCTGTCAGAGCTCTGCTGTGGCCTTGTCTTATATCCACAGCTCCTGTATGCGCTCAGTCACGTCTGTATTTGTCTCTGGCACAGCCAGGATGACACAGCATAAGCGGTCACACCATAAACATACAATCATTGCCTCAACTGCCTCTGATAAAACAACAGCCCAAATGTAACCTGCTGTGAACCGAGGCTATGGCCAAACTAATGAGCAAACATTTAGGGTATTTTGCTGTATATAGGCTACAATTAGCCTATAATAGAGGAAGCATAAAGGCTATGCATTGTCTGTGAGAATACCACATTGTTCTGGACCTAAACCGAAGATGGATAACAAAGGCTTAGGCGTTACAGTCTACTGAAAAACCTCAAGCGCACATGTGCGTGTCACGTGACCATCCCCGTTACGCACAACAAACCCGCGGACACTTTCACTTTAGCATGTTTACCGAGCGTTCATACAGAAAACGGTTTATCGTGTAAAATGTAAGCCTGTCTGTGGCTAGAGTGTACCTCAACAAACAATAAAACGACCTACATTCAGTCAGTCACAGACAGAATGCTTTGACGCTGTTCCTGAAGGTTAATTTGGCTACCAATGGTGGAACTCTGCATGTCTACCACACTATCTTTCGCGCGCGTGATTTAGACAAAGACTCGTGCTTGGTTTTATGCCAAAGTGCAAAAGTTGTGCACTCTGCGATCGCGCCACGAGTGCCAAAGTCTGCGACTGTTGCCTAAGACAGGACTACATTATAAACATTGCGCTGTAACCACTGGCTGTAACCGACAATAGAGGTCTTGAGCTAACGCGCACGTAAACGAGCCAAAGGGACAGATGTTGCTATGCTGCTGTGCTGTTATGCTCTAATCTGTTCCTGAAGGAAGAGCCTTCTCTTGCAACGCGCACTAGAGCCACTAGAGCGCACGGGAGCGCGCATGGAGTGTACCTTCAGACTGTCACGTAGCCCTCGTGCGCAGTGGTATCACTTTATTTGTGTGATGCCAATTTTGCACACACTAATTAGTATCTACTTGCATGCCTTACTATTTTTAGAAGGAAAAAAACACATAAAATAATAAAATAACACACTAAATAAATGTATCTTTTTCCATAGGAGCCAGTAGTGTTAACAGACACCAACTTGGTGTATCCAGCTCTGAAGTGGGACATTGGGTACCTTCAGGAGAACATCGGCAATGGGGATTTCTCAGTTTATTCCTCAGAGAACCACAAATTCCTTTACTATGATGAAAAGAAAATGTGCAATGTTCAAAACTTTGTCCCCAAGTCCAGACGGATGGAGATGAAATTTAGCGAGTTTGTGGAGAAACTGCATGAAACTGAGGAACAGGAGGACGGGGAGAGGTATGACACAACATTATGAGTAATGACAAAACATTATGGGTAATGCATAATAATGATGGGGCAATACATGATATAGGCCTACATCGCTAAGAACCAAATACATTTCTTGTTAAACCACTACCTGCATGTGTCAGATGTATTGCATTATCCAGTTTCCTTCCTCTAAACAAGCAACAAAATTGTCACAAAATAGTTTTATAAAAGATACTAAAAAATACTTTTCTGGATACAGCAGTCCACAATAATGATTCATCAACATATTTTTGCACATCCATGAATGATTATAAGTCATTACATCGTAGTTAACCAGTGTGTGTTTTGAGTCAACCAGTGAGTGTTTTGCATAATGGATAAGACATTACCTCACCTTCCACAGGGAGGAGGGAGGTGCAATAATGACCTGATTAAAATAAAAGGAACAGACACTTTTAGCGCAATCTTCCAAACAAGGGTAGAGTGCTCATAATTTAATAAATGAACAATGTTTGTCTCCATGGAGATAGATGTATGTTTTATACCATACCATGGAACATACTAGGGAAATTTTGTATTTTCATGAGAAAATAGTGGTAATTTCCACCAGAAAAGTCCACTCTGCAACTTTTCTGGTGGCAGGTCGGCCACCTAATTGTCTCCATAGAGATGCTAATGCTTTGGCTAGAATGGTCCATACTATGGGTTTAAATTTGAACTCTGTCTACATTGAGACAGGTGTTCTTCAAGGTATTTCTTAACAAACAGGAGGCAGACTCTAATCAGAAAAGTTGTATAGTGCACTTTTAACTCTAAGTCTATATTTGTAGGCCTAATGCGGTGTCATACAGAAATTGTTATTTTATGGTCATGGTGGAAGTTGCAGCACCTCAGGATTTGGGTGTAACAGATTTGGGTGTAACAGACTTGGTTGTAATAGACTTGGGTGTAACAGACTTGGTGCAGATGTACATGACAGACTGAGGCTGCATCTGTGACCTCTGCTCTTGATACTGCCTGTGTTTACATACACACCAAGTCTAATCAACTCTGACTTCCGATTGAAATGGTGTATAAACAGTTACATCTGTTGTGAGTAGTCTCATTTCTTTTTGATTGTTGTTCTTTTTTGTCTTCCAAATCTCAGCAGTTAGATGTAATATGAAATGTTATGCATCTTGACGTTGAGGTTAGGGTGGGCAATATGGAATATAAATATATATAAATATATATATATATATATATATATATATATATATATATATATATTATATATATATATATATATATATATATATATATATATATGTGTGTGTGTGTGTGTGTATGTGTGTATATGTATGTGTGTATATATGTATATATGTGTGTATGTATATATGTATATATATATATATATATATATGTATATATATGTGTATATGTATATATGTATATATATATATATATATATATATATATATATATACATGGCACCAGAATACAAATTATTTTTTCCCTTGTGATCTCAGGGTGTACCTTCAGCAGACCCTCAATGATACTGTCGGGAAGAAGATTGTCGTTGACTTTCTGGGTTTCAACTGGAACTGGATCAACAAGCAGCAAGCCAAAAGGAACTGGGGCCAGCTGACATCCAACCTGCTGCTCATCGGCATGGAGGGTATGTGTGCTATTACGCTACTGCTGTCTCTAAGCACAGAGCCAGACCCTGGACCAGACCCTGGACCAGACCTGGACCAGACCTGGACCAGACCCTGGACCAGACCCTGGACCAGACCCTGGACCAGACCCTGGACCAGACCCTGGACCAGACCCTGGACCAGACCCTGGACCACTCCATTCTACCAATCATACACACAACACACACACAAATCATCCTTACTAGGCAGTGTTTAGGTGAACTGTCTTGCTTATAGACACAGCAGTAGTCTGCCCCACTCTGTGGCACGTGGTTTTGAAAGCAGTACTAACCAGGCCCAGTCCTGCTTAGCTTCAGAGATCAGACTGGGCAGATTGAGATTGGGCATTGACCAGGTGGTTATTAACCCGAGGTCAACTTAATTAATGAAAATCCTTTCATGTACTTGCTCAACTGAAAAAAATAAAACTTAAAGATGAAATTTGGACCGGTACATGCCTTGATCTGAATAACAGATTGTCTGAAGATTAAAATTTTAGACTCTGGGAGAGAAGATATATAAACTCAAAAAGAAAAAATAAAGCAATATTTAGATTTTTTGTAATGTTTTTGCACTTGCTGTTTGATAAATCTTTTTTTTTATAGAGCACTTTTAAAAACAATGTTTACGATCATTATTTTATGTATGTTTATGTTTATTTTATTGTTTTGAATGGTGTTTTTCTTGTAGGGAACGTGACGCCTGCACATTATGACGAGCAGCAGAACTTCTTTGCACAGATTAAAGGCCATAAGAGATGCATCCTCTTCCCTCCAGATCAGTTTGACTGTCTGTATCCATATCCTGTGCACCACCCGTGTGACAGACAGAGCCAGGTCAGTCTCTGCTCGTTTTCAGTGCAAAACCACTCCCCTTTTTTCTTTTTGTCACCTTATTTTTTTGAAGGTTTTGCATAACCCCAAATCCCCTACGGGACTACAGATGAAAGTTAGCCGTGCAGGCTGACTCTGGATTTTACATGCTGTACCAACATATGCTGATTAATGTCCACTGTCCCATATTTAATAAATAAACATAAACATAATAGAACAAAAACAAGTACAGTCTGTAAAGAATTTAGCATATATTTATATTACATTTACATTTAATTTGAACCAATCCTCTAGTAAAGGTGGGCCCTGTTAAACGTCCTGCCATTTACGCGTAATTCTCTTTTTTGCACAGGCACAGAGAATTTTATTATTATCATTATTATTATCGTCCCAATTGTCCAAAATCTGTCTAAAATGTATATAGCCTTTAAACATATGAACCACTCCCTTTTTTCACAGAATAACTCACTTGTTTTCTTCTTCCAGGTGGACTTTGAAAACCCAGACTATGAGAGGTTTCCTAATTTTAAAAATGTAGTTGGCTATGAAGCTGTTGTGGGTCCTGGTGATGTGCTCTATATTCCCATGTATTGGTAAGTAACATGCTGGGACCGGTTGGGTGTGTATTGCTTGCATTTTCCTCACTGTTGATGATTCATGTACCTGTATTATGGTAAACTGCCGCCAAGGCCTTTTTTGTTTTCATGTCTGCATACCCAAGGCATTACTGATAACTAATTATTATCTTAACAGGCTAAAATAAAACAAATTAAGATCCAATTTTTGCACTAGCAATGTTGCCTAGTTAGCCATATTGATGTATAATGTATATAATTTCAAGTAAGCCCAGTTGTCATAGTAAATAATGTGTAGTAATGCAGAAGTGTTCAAACTCGCGGATTTGTAATTTATAACATTTATAATTTTGTTATGGAGGTACTTGATGCTTTCTTAGAGTTCTGTTGATAATGCCTCCAGAAAGATGCACCATTTAATGTTTTTCCAGTTTTTCTGATTCAAATTTCATTACTGCGGTTTTAAAGGGAGGGTATGAAATCTGAACTCTTACTGTTTTTTGACTTTGGGGTGCCAGTGCCTTAACCTGAATAAAGAAGACACATACACATTTTACGGTATGTGTCCTCAGTAAATAGACAAAACCTCCAACTCACTGAGCTGCAAAGGCTGCACTAGCACTGATTCATGATTAGGTAGTGACCATTTAGATCAGAGAGAATACAAATACCAGTAACAATATTGGTGCTTTCCTATTCAGAATATTTATGTCATTGTCTCAGAAAGTCAGAATTATGGAAAACTGTAAATTACATATAAACATGAATTAATTTAATATGTATAATTATTTCTGTGTTTCAGGTGGCATCATATTGAGTCCCTGTTAAATGGTGGAATTACAATCACTGTAAACTTCTGGTACAAAGTAAGCTCTCATGCACTCTCTTAATTTTTCTCACACTGTGGATACTCTAAACTGACATCATGCTGGGGGTGTTCTACTACATATATATCTATGATTGAATGTTCAGCAGTTATCATGGTGACACAATGCATGCACACACTGTCAAAAGGTTTTAATATAGTCTTAACTCAAGAAAAACACAACATTTTCAGGACCATGTGATCAGTACAAATGTTCATGATCCTGTTTAGGTGTTTGATTTTCTACAAAAACATGAAAGTGACTAACTGAAAAACTGTTGGGTAATGCTAACTAGCTTGTGACTTTAATGTTATTTGAGAGGGGCTTGTGTAACAGCACAGCTCAGCTCACCTGTTGTAATTCCAGCTAAATCAGTTCTTTATGGTCAGAATGTGTTTAAACAAAAGTCAAGATTAAAGTCTAACAAGCCTCAGACCAGACATGTCAAACTCAGGCCCAGGGGCCAAATTTGGCCCATGGTATAATTATATTTAGCCCGCGAGATCATATCAAATATGTATTAGAGCTGGCCTGTCGGCTACAGATATGCTATAGAGACATTATTTATTTAAAATTTTGATATCATTTTATATTATGCTTGTTCTGGATTTAATGTTTAAGCAAAACTATTATTAAACATTTATTTTAATAGGAAAAGGTTTAACATTACATATCTCGAAAGAAGAGAAAACATGCAGATGTTGAAATTTTTCAGTATTTAGTTTGACCCACGATTTAGTCCCAGTATTTAATTTTGGCCCTCTGCGAATTTGAGTTTGACACCCCTGCCTCAGACAGAGCAGTGCCTCTGTTAGCGTCACACCTGTACTCTGCCTAACATATGCCTTTGTTATTTCCACCCCAGGGTGCACCTACGCCTAAGAGGATAGAATACCCACTAAAGGCTCATCAGAAGGTGGCCATTATGCGAAATATTGAGAAGATGCTGGGAGAGGCACTAGGAGACCCCCATGAAGTAAAGCCACTCTCTCTTTCCTCTATGATCTATCTATTTATAGGCACATGCAGACAGGCTTCTTCTAGAACATCAAACATGTGCTAAGATGGCTACATTTAGGTCAGCTGTTGCATGTAATCCCAGAGGCACGCTGACCGCTCCAGCAACCCAATTAACATGAATATTTATGGCTGTCTTCTTATAGTACAAAGGAATGTCATTGTGTAGTGCTAATTTTTACAGTCAGTTAAGCTGCAGTATCTGGCAGTCATCTAAAAAAAAACATTGACTACTTTGAAACCTTTTCTATCATGGACCTCTACTGGACAAATGAGGAATTACACAGACTCACAATGATATAGTCTGTCTGCCACTTTCTAATGAAACCTCTGCCAAAACAGGTCTGCTTTATTATGACAATATCACAGTTAGCCTATAATTTATATTATAATCATTATTTTTTAATTACTTCTATATGGTCAAAATTAACCTGAAAATATAGACCATTAATATTTTATTAGAAAGACAGACAGCTTATGTAGATAAGAAAAGTGGTAGAAAGGGCACACTTCTCATTCTGAACATTTTCTATTTTCTGATATGTATTAGATACTAGATACTTTGTGCAGACTTGCTTCTCCGTCATAGATCTGACCAGTAATTTGTCTTCATTACGATTACCAAGTTAATTTTCATACTGTATCCAACTTATCCTGCCCCGCCCACCTTTCTCTCTAAATGCTCCTCAACCACGTTTTTTGTGGCGGCACTTCCGGTTAAACAGGAATCCCATTCATGTCAGTGGAGAATTTGGGAAACATTTTGCATCTTAAATATGACATAAAGTCAGTTCATTTGTGTAGAATGTTCAGTGTTCATGTGCACCCACAAGTCACACTGAACTGATTATCTGGGTGCTTTAAAACGACTTTATAGTCTGTACTGAACTTATTTGCTTGTAATAATACAACCTGAATCGTGCTGGCGGCGCTGGAGCCTTTTATACAATACAATCTCCATGGAAACAGGCAGGCGACTGACTCTAAAGAAAGTTACATATTGCACCTTTGAAGGCACAGTAAAACTTACATTTTTCTCTTTGCAGGTTGGACCTTTACTTAAAATGATGATCAAGGGGCGCTATGACCAGGAGTCGAGCTAAAGCTTACCAGTGAGGATGAAACCACTGTAGACTTAGTGTAAGGAGACTGTAACTGTTCATTCATGTGACTGACTGCTGTGTAGAAAGAGTAGGGCATCAATAAAGACCATGGAGCTACGCGTCTGTGCATGGCAATAAGCCATTTTGAATCCTCTGCTTCACGTGCCATTGTCTCATCACTCCAGAAGAAGATACTCACCGGTTTTGATGCCTACGAAGCACCTTTTTTATTTAATTCAAAGAGGCTAAATCACTCTTGTATGTTTGCTGCATTTGTCAGTGTTGAATTATCACTATATCATTTATTACTGGTACATATGGAGTGGTCTGTATTCGCATAATATAGCAATCCGTCTCACAACAGTTTTATAACAGGTTCAAATTAAAGTGTATTTTGAAGTATTGTATTTATCTATGTAAGCAACATATTTTTCTGTCTGCTCATTATACAGCTTAAGGGAACGATCATAACCATATTAGTGGCTATACAGGTTCATTAAACATTACATTTATATAGCAGGGGTATGTATGTAGGGTTGCAATTTAAAGTAACGCATATGTTCAGTTTGACAAATATATTCTTTCTAATTAAGTTGGGACAGATAGGGCTGATCTTTAGACTACACTCCTTGTTTGATTCATGTTTCACTGACTACAACATTAAATGAAATGTAGAGGGTTGCAAATACCTTATGTTGATTTACTCATGTATTAATGTTTGAGTTGAAATGATCTCTGATGTCAAGGCCATGCATTTGGCAGTAGTAGCATGACACAACTGTAGCTTCCATTCGCAGCCAAATACTGCACCACAGACACACTCCAGTGTTTTGATCCATAGTGACGCTGCCCCCATTTTGTTCTGATGATTCCCTCCACTGTTATGGGCAAACCTCGTGTTCACATTTCATTTCATTATATTCTGTAGCTAATTTTGAGTAGGTTAACCATTCAAAATATATTTGGATACACTAGAGAAAAGTTAATAGTGTACATAAGAAGATAGGCCTGATTTGTTTTAGTGCCAATCCTTGTGGAATATTTACAAAGAATCCAAAAGACAGGATATTTATGTCACTTTTCCACTCTGAAGCAGTCCTACTTCCATAGTAAAGCTGAGCTTTAACTGCTTTTATAATGTTTACTGTGTGCCTTGCAGAACAAATATGGCACCGAGTGTTTCAGTTGATCTTGTTAATATTTTAATGTTGTGTGTTTTCATTCAGAAGTGTTCATTCAAATGAAGAATGTGTGTTTCCCAATTCCATTTGGAACTGAAGTCACAGATTTTCATTCCTGGAGAATTTCTACTGCATGTTGCTTAATAAAAGACAAAACACAAAATAAATGTGCCTTAATTATTTGTTCAACAGAACACGAAATTATGAAAAGACAGAAATTGTTTATAAAAATTAGTATTTATTTACTATAAATTGTGCGTCTGCTGGGAACCCAAATTATTCTGACTAAAACTAAAACTAAAACTTCCAGTCTCTACAGTGTAACACTAAGCACAATGCTGTTGGCTTGTAACAACACATCTTGATTGCATTACAGCTGCATATGACTAAATGTTACTGGAAATACAAAATACAGAATTTGGCAAAGAAAATGACTAAAGAAATTCCCCAGCCATACTTATGGATTCAAATGAAAAGAGCCTAAACTGCATAAGCACATTAACAGTACACACACATAAAATACAAAAACAAAAAATAATACAAATAAAAGGTAATAGCTGTCATATTACACATATCAGTACAATTTCCCATTAAATCTACAGAGCTCTGAACTGGAGTGTACATCAATTCAGAATTCAGTCCTTGAACTTCTAGATACTGCAAATAATTGTTCAGTTAGCAAGTCCCAGTAATTCCTCAAATACCTGTACCATAGACTGTATAAAGAAATGGACTAAGAAAGTGTGATGTCATCCATAGTATTCAGCTCCAGTCAAATGAAGCTCACTGGGGCTGACAGTTCTAGGCACAAATTTGGAGCCAAATTCTATTTTAGGAATACACATTTATTTATGGACAAAAGAGCTAAATAAAAACACCAGGGTCACATAGAGTGGGTTAATAGGGTCATTTTAAGATTAAAATAATGAGCAGGGATGAAAACGGGTCAGGGTGGAACGGAAAAGGTGAGAAAGGTCTGTGAGGGGTACCTTTTTTTTTTTTTTTCTTGATGTACATGCTCTTGTCAGGCAGCACAAGCAAAGTGAACTGCTTGCCATTTGATTTAATATCATAGTTGTTCTATATAAAGTCCCTGCACTCAGTGGCCATATCAGAGACGCTTTCGGGCTTCTATTTCAGGTTAATAAGAGCAGGCCCTCTAAATGAATGACAATTCACCAGTATATGCAGTCTCCGATTACTGATAGTCATGAAAACCATATGATCGAAAAACCAAAACTTGATTATAATGTCTTAAAAAGTTGGCTGCTTTGTATAAAAATAAAGCTTTAAAAGCCACTTTTCTCAGGTTATTTTGATACTGTGCATGCACAGTACTTCACTAAAGGCATGAGAAGAACATCAGAGGAAGAAACAGCAACATGATTGGAACACCACTCGTACAGTTCAGTATACGATTGGCTCTTGGCAGCGGAGCAGGTGGGATATTTGCTGACATTCGCCATATTGCTGTTACGAAGTGTCCCTATACATTTCAATGGACAATTTCTATAGTACTCTGTCTCCCCTTATACCTGGACAAGGCGCACTGCAGCAGTTACAGAGAGATGACAAGTTTTCCAATGTAAAGTCAATTGGGACCAGAGTCAATGGAGGCGGAAGAGCGCCCATGATCATTTCCTTTTTGGAACGTGCCGGCTAACAGGTTAGCTGTGTCCATTTATATCTACAGTCTATGGCATGTACTTGTGTTAAACATTTGTGACATACCTCATAAGCTTTACACTGCCTGTCTAAATACCAAATGAATGGTACCAAAATTATAGTAGCACTAGTTTGAAGATAAAAACACTATAAAAATACAATTAACATTTTTTGTTTTAAAGCACTGGCAGAATTTGGACTGCACTAATTAAAACCAAAATAAAAAATGTGTTATAGTCAAGTTACATGTGCCACAATTAATGAACACAGAATAAATCAGGACACAGGAAATCACTGATGCATGGCATGTTTACAAAAAGAAAAAAAAAAAAAAAAATCTTTTAATTTTGGGAATGGGTATGTCCTGGCTAGCCACAACCACTCATCATGAATAAAACCTAGCAAGCACCATAGAAACCTAGCTATTTACAGTCATATAGATCTATGTTCAAGGTTTTTTGATGAAATGAGAAGCAAAGCATACAAAATTGTCAGTGCAACATCAGATCTACTCAAATACAGTATATGTTAGAAATAGAAAACTTCACAATTATGCAATAAAAATAAAAGAACTGTGCAGTTTAATCTAAAGAATCTGTTATTTCTGCACTTTTGTGGTTCGTTTCATGATCCAGTTTCACTTGTGCAATACTTGCACCTCAACCAATCTATGTACAGGCAAGTTTCTGATGAGAATGCAAAAATATCATCCATTTCCTATCAATCAGACAAAAATTATTGAAAACATTTTTTTAAATTAAAACTGCAGACCTCTATTTAGACAAGTATGCATAAAATCAACACAACATGATCACTTATTATTATGCAAAGTTCCTACTGCAAATTAAAGCAACAATTTAAAGATAGACTGTGTAACTTTTCTGATGAAGGGTTCAAGTTGGTTTTCTCTAGGGGAGATGTGTATGTGTAAGTGATCCACCGTAAGGATTTAAACTTATCCATCTCCATGGGGACAAGCAAGTGGCGCCACTAGGTCAATTAACTGGTCAGATTTGTGTAGATGCAAGCCTGCTCATTGCAGATTTTCAAGATGATCTTAGTAATATATGCTATAAGTGTTCAGTTCGGAGTGCATATTGTAAACAAATCCTGGAGCATTAACATTTGAGAGAACACTGAAATATGAACTGATTAGCAGCTTGGGTGAGCTGCAAAACGTTTTCGACCTAAATAAACGTTTGTCCAGGTGACAAACTGAATTTCTCCTTTGCCGTAATACAAGAATCCCTTCCATTTCAAGGCATTTTTACATAGTCAAAGAAGAATGGAAAAGATGATGGTTGCCATAACAATTAAAAAAAATAATCATCCTATATTTATTGAAAAGTCCTATAACAGGGAATGAAATCCATGAACATTTGTATGCTATACTGTGGAATATTCAAAGCATAGCAATAACCTGTCAAGAAAAGTTACAAAGTACATCTTTAACCAATAATAAAACTAAAATGCATGTAGTAGTTACCAGTGTTCTAAATAAGCCACATGCGCACTGGAGAATGATTTAAAAGAGTTCAGTAATAAATAATATATGTAAACAGTATGGTCAGTAGCTGCGCATTAGAATCATGGACCAGTCATCAATGGAACCTGTACTTTCTGGCGGGTTTGAGGTTAACATAAGTCTTCTTCATCTCCTCCGTCTCATTCTTCTTCACCAGCTGGTAACGCTCACCTTTTGTTGTGACCACCTGGTTGTCATGGTAACGCACAAGCTTCTTCGGGGCCTGTGAGATGGTTTTTATAGATAAATATGAATGAATGAGACTGAACTGAGTAGAAGACTGGAGGAAATATAGACTCACGTCTTTAGGGGCAACTGGTCTATGAGTTTTGTTGTCTTCCTCGCTGTCCACAAGCATGTATCTGGAAATCACAAAACTGATATGTAAATAAAAATACAAAGACATGCACTTTTAAATAATAAAACAATATACAAAAGAAAAAAATATAAAAAGCCACAACTTCACTCACTTTTCCAAGATGCTCTCTTTCAGCTTTTGGTCTGCCACTGATGTTACAGTCTTTCCTTGGTTAACCTTGAAAAAATGAAGAGTATACTTGTCATGCCAAAATGAAATAAAACATAATAAAAGTGGATTTATATCTGTATAGTCATGATGGAATGATAACTAGTATAAAAGAGGGGGCATTGTGCTATTTATTTTTTAGCTTTCTACCATGCTCTGAGTTTCTCCCTCATCAAAAAAAAAGTGGTTTCCTGAATCATTCATTTGAGTAATCTTGCGGTTTCTCAAAGGCACTATTCAAACCAACAAGTCTAAACTAAAGCTCAAACCACAAGCTTGCGTAACCAGGAGACTCACTGCAGTGCTTCCCAGATTCCCACCACACCACATTGCCCCTCCCCTCAAAGGAGACAGAGCATCAAAAACAAAACTGAATCTAATTACATTTTTAAATAAACTGTTTTTGGCAAATATAGCATTTTCAAAACAACATAGGGTGATAAAACATGGTGATCTAAACAGGTTATATGTTTAAATTATATGGTTATATGTTAATACCCCATGACACCCTCTTCAAGATATGCGGCTGTACTGAATGCTGTACTTCTGACAATGTTCACAGTTATTTCACAGCGTTTATGGAAAAAGCGGCACCTCTCATGGCCTTGAGTTCATTAAATTATTATTTATATGTAAAACCAGGAAGGAATAGTCCATGTGTGTAAGTTCTATTACATAGACCGGGGTATCCAAACTTTTTTCACAGAGGGCTGCATATTTTCGAAGCAGAGGGCCACAGACCAGTGTTGATACAGTGAGTCAGTCTGACGGGTGCATTTAAAGGTGCTTTGATAGAGCTACCATATCCTTAATAAAACTTGGAACATGAAAAGGTGCATTGTGCAACTCTTATGGTGGAGAGCCCGTCACTTGGTTGTCTCCATGGAAATGTTGTTCTTTGTTTAAAAAGCTCCACTTTAGAGATTAAACCTATCTATCTCAAGGGAGACAACTACAGAATAGGCTACATTACAGGTCAGATCTGTGGAGCGGCAACCCTATTCACAGACAGAATAATTGTATTTTTGAGCAACACCCATAATTAATAAATGCTACATTGATGTGTTTAATGTCATGGAATATTCCAGGAAAAGTAATAACATCTCCATGAAGACAAGCATATGACGGTCCCTTCACCAGTTGTATTGTTGTGCAATACAACTTTAATGTTAGGTCTGCATCACAATACAATGTGATGCTGTTGAGGTATTAGTGGTAGAATTACTTAAATTTACAGAAAAAACATTCTGCTTCATGATCAAGTTGCAGGAAGCCTGAGAACCAACAAAAAATGATCTGAGGGCTGCATTTGGACCATGGGCCTTAGTTTGAACCCCTGACATAGACCTACCGTAATCACTATAGGCTATTTTTAATAATAGACCAGTGTTGCCCCAAATCTCTGCACAGTCAAGTATGCCATAAACAAGGGGCAATACATGATATACTTTTTCACATGTTTTTTCAATTGTTCTGGACACGGATATTTCACTCCGTCCCATCCCTATCTTTGTCTCTTCTTACATTAAGTGGAGTAGGGCTGAGCTGGACGTCTCCTTCGATGATAAGGCGCACAGCTTCCTCCATGTCTCCCTTGGCGATAGACAGAGCATTTCGAGCCTCAGACACAGTGCATTTTGGAAACATCTCCAGAAGGTGTTGCTCCTGTGCCTCCCATTCAGACGATGGACCCTGAACAAGAGACAAGTTATGTCATTTCAACATACGCACAATGGCAAGACACAGGCAAATAGCAGTCATGTGAAAATTACCTTCTGTAGTTCCCCCTTTATATTTAATAACCATTATATACATCATAACTGTATACAGTCAAGTCCAAAATTATTCATACCCCTGACAAATTTTGACTTAAAGTTACTTTTATTCAACCAGCAAGTTTTTTCTTGATTGGAAATGACACAGGTGTCTCCCAGGAGATAATAACACAATGTACAAGAGGCATCATTGTGGAAAAAAATTATTTCTCAGCTTTTATTTACATTTGTATGAAAAGTAGCATGTCCAGAATTCATACCCTTCTCGATAATCAGTAGAAAAGCCTTTGTTGGTATTACAGTGATCCAATGCTTCCTATAATTGCTGACCAGTTTTTTGCAAGTCTCCACTAAAATTTTCACCCAGTCAACTTTAGCAGTGAGCTCCAATGCTTTCAGATTGGAAGGTCTCCTTGCCATCACCCTGATCTTTAGCTCCCTCCACAGATTCTTAGTTGGACTCAAGTCAGGACTCTGGCTGGGCCACTGCAAAACGGTATTGTTGCTGTCTAATAACCATTTCTTCACCACTTTGGCAGTGTGCTTTGGGTCATTGTCCTGCTGAAATGTCCACTGGTGCCCAAGTCCAAGTTCCTCTGCAGGCTGCTTGATGTTGTTGTTGAGAATCTTGATCTATTGCTCTTTGTTCATGGTGCCGTTTACTGTGATTAGACTCCCTGGCCCATTGACTGAAAAAACATCTCCAAAGCATTAGGTTCCCAACATCATGTTTGACAGTGGGGATGGTGTTCTTAGGGTTGAAGGCTTCTCCTTTTTTACACCAAATCATCAATACATCATTATGGCCAAACAATTCAATTTTTGTTTCCATAAAACAAAAGACCAAAAGTGTTCTTCTTTGTCCAGATGAACATTTGCAAAGGCTAAACTGGCTTTTGTGCACCTTATCTGGAGAAGTGGCATCCTCCTTGGTCTACGTCCATGGAACCCAGCAGTATGTAGTGTCTGTTGGATTGTCTGGCTGGAGATGTTGCCACCAGCAGAGCCCAGATTCACCTGGATGGCCTTGGTGGTGATCTGTGGATTCTTTTTCACCTCTCTCACTATCCTCCTGGCCAGCACAGGTGTCACTTTTGCCTTCCAACCACATCTTGTGAGCTTTTCCAGTGTGGAACGTCTTGTATTTTTTAATAATTCTTTGCACTATAGCCACTGGAACTTGAAAATATTTAGATATGGCCTTATAGCCCATTCCTGACTTGTGAGCAGCCACAATACGCAGCTGTAGATCCTCAGAGAGCTCCTTGGCCTTAGCCATGATTGTTCACAACCCAACTACAAAGACCTGCTGTTTTTCACTTGTTCAGTTGCTTAAAACAGCTCTTCCCAATGAATCAGGGTAATTAGGAAGTTTTAGAACAGCTTGTGCTGTTTGGAATGGTATAGAACTTTGGATTTTCCCATAGACTCTGACAGTTTACAAAGGGTATGAATAATTTTGGACATGCCACTTTTTGTACAAATGTAAATAAAAGCTGAGAAATATTTTTTTTCCACAATGATGCCTCTTGTACATTGTCTTATTATCTTCTGGGAGACGCCTGTATCATTTCCAATTAAGAAAAAACTTGCTGGTTGAATAAAAGTAACTTTAAGTCAAAATGTGTCAGGGGTATGAATAATTTTGAGCTTGACTGTATAGTATGTTTGATTTGAGAAGTGGATTTAATAGGGGAAATGCCTAATAGGACTGAATGATTAAAATCTGCAATTCTCAAAGGGTGTCTCATGGCTCATGAACTATAAAGTGAATCAAGTTTTTAAAACATAAAATTTATAATACATAACTTTTTGATGGTGTCACATCACCTGAGTCCAAGGAAACCACACTTCTCCATGGAGATAGATTAGCCAAATGGAATCAAGCAGGAGGTGACCTTCTGCAGGACACTAAGTCTCGTTTGTCGTGATTTGTCGTGATGCAACTGTGCTAACAGTTTGAAAATTTAAATTTTAAAAACCAAAATGTTTTTCTAGTACATTATTTTGCTAAAAAGTTACATACTGTGGCTTTAATTGCAATATATATATTTTTTAAATTAAGTCTTATTCCAAACTCAATCATTCAAATTGCAACTTGAATTAATATCAAACAAGTTTGAATCAGTTGTTGTAATGGGATCAAATTGTTGCTCAACCTGCAAATTACAAACTGATACCAAAAAAGGGGAATATTTATTTCCTGGACAAACTCATAACACTGAAATAATACAAACCATGGTCAGTGATTACCTTGGCTGTGGCGCCCTCTGTCTGGTTTGTAAGGCACTGCGCTTCACTCCCTGTTGGCGACGCACTTGGCATGGTGGTGAGTTTCAGTGAAATCTCATCTGTCCTCGCCTTAGGCACACTGTTTTCATTGTCAGCTGAAAATGAAACACTAAACTAATTAATCAGCAGCAGCACAGCAGAACAAATGTCAGCCCGGTGATCCATGTCTGGCTTTCATATCGCTGTGTAGAGACTCTGCCAGCAGGATATTGATAGGAAATCACATTAGAAAGATGCTTGGACAGTGTGCACAAACTTGGCACGGGTCTGTACCTGAATCGCGAGCTGTGGCCAGTTTCGAAGCCAGGCTGAACATCATTTCACACACTTTGACACTGCAATCACAATCAATACATCACGTTAGCTTGGCCTCATCTCGTGTGCTGTCACTCACAGACCACATTTAAAATAAAAGATAATACACAGCTGAGGATGGGGACGAACTAATTATGTAATATTTGATGTGCTTCTTTGAATAAATTAATTAAACACTGCATAACTTTTTGGTGCTGACACTTTACTACATGAAGTTAAAACCATGCAAAATAAAAAACACCAGGATCATGTAGAGTGAGTTAATACTAAAATTTTAAGACTAAAATTATGAGCCTGACAGCAACAGTTACAAAGAAAAACAAACTGAATTGGAGATGGAGTTGATTGCAGCAATTGCAGTCACATACACATACACATACTAAAAAGTATTTATTTGATTGCCCAATATTACATATAATCATAATATCATCTCGATGCACTCTCGTACTCGATTATGTGCTCCTTAGGCTAGTCTCCCCACCTCTGATACACAGCTACACAGTTTAATATTGTACCTGTCAATTTCAGCAAACCCAGGGATGTAGGCTTCAAGCATTTCAGCAAAGACCTCCACATCAAAGTTCTCCTCCACGCTCTCCTGTGATCCCAGGTCCTCCAAGACCCCAGTGATGTAGGACAGCAGAACGTCATCCAGTGTGCTGCAATGACAATGACCAGTTTAGTTTCAGTCCTGACAAAAAAAAAAAAAAAAAAAACAGCTCAAAATTCATCTTTAGCTCAGAGCCTATAAATTGCTGTTTCATCACTACTTTTTTTTGTCTGTCCTGTCCTTGTTTTAGTCGTACATTATTATGAAGCATCTTAGTGTTACTGTGAAAAGTGCTATATAAAACTGATGTATTAAATGGTAAATGGTCACATTTTTCTATAGCGCTTTTCCACCTTCAAGGCACTCAAAGCGCTTTACAACAAGGAACCACTCACCCATTCACACACACATTCACACACCAGTGTACGCAGACACTGTGGGCAAGGTGGGTTAGGTGTCTTGCCCAAGGACACAACAACAGCATTCACCTGTGGGAGCTGGAATCACACTAGCCAACCTGTGGGTCAGTGGATCTGACCGCTCAACCTGAGATGTTTATGTTGAGAGCTGGATTCGAACCGCCAACCTTCAGATCAGTGGGCGAATGCTCTACCAACCGAGCTACTGCCGCCCCATATTATTAATTATCACTATTAAATATTCATGTACAAGTTCTATAAATCCAAGTAGTGGTGCACAATTTTGAAAAAAATTCTGAAGAACTGCAACTGCAATATAAAAAGTAGGATTCAGATAGAATACACATTGTAAACAAGTCCAGAAGTATTAACATTTGGAAGAAGACTGAATTACGATCTGTTTAAGGTGCACTGCGTCTGTTTTTTGGCAGCGGGTCTGCTTGTCTTCATTGAGGCATAAAACTGAACTATCTTCATAAAGACAAGTATGTGTCACCACCAGACCAAGTTACAGGTTAGAGCTGTGGAGAGGCAAGCCCACTCTCAAAGTCTGAATGCATGCTTTTCAATGCATTTCTGAACAATAAAACACTGATAATTAAATCAATGCAAGATAGATAACATTAATGCCATACAGTGGAACATTCTGGGTGAAGCCAAAACATCTTCAGAAAAAAATACACATTACATACAAAACAATTACAACACACGAATTTGATGAATTTCCATGTGTAGGTGTAATGCGATTTTTCTATCAAAAGGGCATGCAATTTGATTTCTGTGCTAATTCTAATTTAGATTTCACTCCTGTGATATAGGTCTGAATATAAGAAATAAAATAAAAATAATACCTGAGATCAGCATCTGGAATGTAAGTCTGGATGAACTCGTGCAATGCATCATGGATAATTTTGTGGAGGTCCATTGCTTTCTCCTAACTGAGGGACACAACACAGAATGGAAGAAGAGGTTGCACAAAGTCACCAGTGGTTCCTGCTCTTATAACCAGTTCTCCCCCATGTGCTATTTATGGTTACCAAACGGTTACAAAAGTTTCTTACAAAATGTTATGAAACGAGTTATAAAATTGAGTACGATCTTTTTAAAGACTATTAAGAGATCAACATATTTTATAACAAGGAGCAATGCAAATCGGGATCATAATGGGTTTTGAAAAAATGTTCGATGAAGCAACGCACAAATTCATGGGTACATCATTTAGATGAAAACCACTTGATTTCACGGTGTATTAATTGACTATTACTGTTAAATATTTTTGCTATTTTTAGAATAGCCTGCAGAGAGCAGCAGCTACACGGCATCAAAAACGCAAATGAATGAATACAACCACCCAGTAACCTAACATTCCAAATCAATCTTTTGTCGTACATAATAATATGAGAAACAGCGTTATGTTTACGTTAGCCGATCTGCTAGTAAGGTTAGCAGACATTTGTTTTATAGCTAGCATAATGTTAGCATCGGAAGCCTTCTACAGTGCATAAAGCTTGTCAGTTGCAATAGATCTACCTTAAGCTAAATGTTAATAAATACACTTACTTTAGCTTTAATTATGGCGACATGAAGCACGTAGATGTCCCCAAATGGTGCAGGGGATGCTGGCTCGGAGAGGTGTTTATGATCCGAATCGTGCAGCCTCTTCACGCACAATTCAAAACATCCGTGCGTCACTTCCGGTGATTGCTCTGGGCGCCAACAATCTACAAATCGTACTTTTGATTAAACTTAAATTTCACCCTGTAACTTAACAGTCAACATAAACTGACATCATTACTTTGTAGTTAGGCCTAACAACTACTGTGACTTGCAAATGTCATATTGCTAGCTTGACAGTAAGTAGGCATATTACTACAATTAAAGTCTTGTTTTAAACTAAATTATTATTACATGACTAAAAGCTCACAAGAGTCTTGTGAGCTTTTAGTCATGCTATTACTTCCCCAAAAATATCTGGAGTAGAGTTTTGTTTCATTCACACATGTTTGAGTAACTCTTAAGTAGTCTGTCTCCATCTCCAAAGTTCAAAATGCTCTGTTTCACCTTGTGATGTCATGTAGTGGTAGTTTCAAGCTTGCTTTTACATTTAGTTCTGTAGAGAAGAGCAATTCCAAGGCTGAATTCATCCAAATGATAACCCTAACCCTAAAAAAACAGTGAGACACTTCCTATATTGCTACATGATGTCACAAGGTGACGTGTGTTTTCACTTTGAGAGAAGAACTCAGCATAAATATGCAGGGTTTGTGAATGAAACAAAACATGACTCCAGGTGTGTTTTTGACGAGGAACCTTTATAACATACATCAGAAAATAGCATAATATGGGCCCTTTAATTGCAATTTTCAGACACAAAATTTGGATAATGGGTAAGTCCTATTTCTGATTTACAAAGCTAAACCGATAGAGACAAATCTATAGCCTATGTCTGATGATCATGAAGAAGACTTTGCTTGCTAATAGGTCTGTCACGATAAATACTTTTCTGCAATAAGATACGGTTTTAGCTGTACAATGTTGAATTATGAACTAAAACTATACAATCTAATTATTATATTAAATTCACACATTAAAATTAATGTGTTGCTTTCTGACATTTATTTAATGCAGCTCATGTTTTTTAACCATAGTGTACATTTAAAAAAACTGTGGATAGTTCTGATGGTTTAGTTTTAATATTATCGTTTATCTTCTATATATAGTTCAGCAATAAATTTGTTATTGTGTCAGATCTAATTGATAAAACATATTTCTTACTGCTAGGCCTGTCACAATAACAAACTGTGTACGATATTATTACATATACACAATAATATATACACAATAACCCCAAAGTAGATTTCTACCACACAAATTATTCTAAATGTAATCTATTGCTAAAAAAACGAAAACAAAACCCCAAAACAAGCTGCAATAAATAAATAGCAGAATGAAACATTTAGTACTTCATTTGCATCTGTAATGAGTCATAGAAGTTATTTATGCAACCTTTTATGGCTTAACTATTTAAAAAAAATAACCAAACATTTCCCATTAGCACAAAGAAAAAAGTAAATATTGACCCCCAAAAATATTGTTCTAGCTTTCATATACTGAACCATAAGCTGATATAGTAATTATTGTGACAGGCCTACACAGCCACAATCCACAAATTTACTGTTACAAAGCTGATAAGATAAGGAGTTCTCAACAATGTCTTGTGACTCCCACACTTGGGGTGACTGGTTGCTGGTTGGCCATGTTTTGAATACCACACGATGATAGATAGCAGCTAGTAGATAGATATATTACACATCAGTCATAATGTACTTTCCCCTATGAATTTGTACTATTCTTCAAAGTTATGTGCCTATTTTTGTCTTTCAGTTTTTCTCTTTCTGGACTGAGGGTTGCCACAAATTATCCACCCACTCGCATGAAGCCATTTCCATAAGAAGCTGGTGTGCAGTGCTGTATGACCTTTCACAAGTACAGATAAGGTATATAAAATAAGCTTTTGCTCACAATATTGATGTCAAACTATTATTTTTGCATGTAGTTTATTGGATCTTGAAGTCAGGAATTCACCAAAACTAAGGGTGGATTCACTTGTTTTATGTAGGCCTGGTTTGGTCATGTTCTAATGCTGGTTTAGTTCTAGAATCAAAATTAAAATGTAGTGTGAGTGAAAGCAACCCCTACACAAAGTTACTCTTATTATCATACATTTTACCAGGGCACTTGGATTAACACAAGATTTTGTAGTATAATTTCAAATGATTAAAGCCACACTATTTAACGTTTTGGCCCATATGGACAAAAATAAATGTATGCTTTTGTCAGTTTGGTTATGTTTATTGCACTAAACATTTTGAAAACATGTATCCTTACTCTGAGCAAATGTGCATCTCTACCAACCTGAATCTTGGCCTGAGGAAGGGTCTCCTCTTGTTTTCTTGGAAATGTTGTCCCTTTGACAAAATATTCGTCAATATAGCATAAAACGTATCTATCTCCAATGTAGAATATTTCCACTTTTGTTTAAACTTTCTATTTCCATAAATCATGCAGACTACATTCCACGTCCAGAAAATCACATACTGTGCCTTTAAACATCAAAAATAAAGTTAGATAGTTAGTTATGCAAAATGCATAATTTTCTTTATCAGGTGCACACAACATTTAAAAAATGCTTTTTAACATTAAAATTACATTCCTACACTTGCTTAGGTTAGGTTGCTTTATTTGTACCTATAGGTAAACTTGTTCTGCAGATTTGAGAGGTAGGTCCTACATTTCACATTTCATTCATCCACACTATACACAATAAACACATATAAAAACACAATTACAAATAAGGTGTTGGAATGCTCCAGTGCAGAATGGTTTTGTTGCATTGTTACATGCAGGCATTTGTTTTGTTTGTGTACTGCTCTCTCTCTCTCTCCCTCCGTGTATATGGCTGCTAGTATACCTTTTTGTTTGTTGATTTGGCACAACTGGCCCACGCCTCCTCCCACCAACCTTGTTCATTTTTTGTGCACTTTAATGAATGTTCGGCTGTCAAATAAAAAGTTTGCCAAACCGACTTTGCCTCAAGGGTTGTTTTATACACGTTGTGTCCCTTGTTGGATATAGGGGACATAACATGCATAAATAATTAATTAATTCATCACACCTGACTAAAAATCATAATAAATATTAGATATATAAAAAACACGATTTTCCAAGACAGAGTACTAAAATCGATAGATAAATTAGAATTTATTCATAAGTATGATAGCAGCTGGAACGAAACTCCTTTTCAAATTATACTAGATCTTGGGACTAAAAGCCTTTGACCAGAGGGGAAGCAGCTGAAACTTTGAGTTTAGAGAATGTTTTCAGAATACTTTGAGACATCCACTGTAACTATCTCCCTGAGTACATGGAGTCCAGGCTGTTCTGAGGATGGGCAATCACCTTACTCGCCCCTTTAACCAGCTGATTCAGGTAGTTCTAATTTTTAGCAGAGATGCTCCCAAACCATGAGACCAGTGAAAATGTTCAAACTAATTCCAGTGTTTTGTAGAACAGTGTCATCAAGGTTCTATCTACACAGCAGAAGGACAATTTCTTCAGACAATGAAGGTGCTGGTGGCCTCTTACACACAGCAATACAGTTATCGTCAAAGCTCAATTTTGAATCAGTGAGTGTTCCAAGATATACTTATAGGAGTCTGCACACTCAACTGACTGCCCCTTTATATATGTGAAGTCTTCCTGAGGAGCACTTTTCTGAAAGTCAAAAGTCATAGCCTTCGTTTTGGATAAATTTAGATGTAGATATGACTCTTCACACCATTTTACAAAATCTTCAACAACTGGCCCATATTGGTTTTAATATTTCTGAAGCAAGCTCACAATTACAGAATCATCTGCATACTTTATTATTGTTCTGTTCTCATAGGCACTCTGACACTTGTTAGTGTACAGTATGAACAGCAGGGATGAACCCCACCCCTGTTGTATTCTCACATATCACCACTAGATGCTATCTATGTTACTGCACTTTGATAGTGTTCTAGCTTTGTTCTCACAAAAGAAGATCGGAGAGCACAGGTGAGTCTGAACAAAAGCCAGGTGAGGAGAGGAGGGAGGGGCAGAACAGGTTTCACATCTGTACAATAAACTGTCACCACTTCAAAAACTACATTAGATGGTTGCCTAAAAATACATTCAATTTACATCAATAATAAAAATCATGATTTGCTACTTTTACACAGAATATTACAAATATAGTTGTAACAGATCTACTTGTCAGGTTGAGAAAAACAAATCTTTTCTGTTGCACCTATAGTTTAAATAATAATCGATACATTAAATCAATTCTCCATGGATCACCTGCTCAGGTCCAGTCTCCTCTGTCTGTCTGACCTGTGCTTGACTTGTCCTTGTGTGTATTTTTCATTAGACTGCTAAAAAGCGCACTCTCACTCGCGCATTATCTTATATCTTTTACCACTTGCATGCATAGTTGATGACGGGGCTGTTATCTGAAGCAGCATCGGTGATGTCAGCAGAGCCTCTCTCCGTTACCTGGGACCGCGTGTTGGTATTATAGCAGATATGTACTTGTAAATCATTAATGCGCGTTCAATTGTCTCTCTCTCTCCTTGCAGTATCTCATGCCTCCTGCCGTGGATCATCAGGAAATATGGCCCCTGGCTGCTGATAAAATAAGAAGGAACAGTTCTGGACTTGGCTGAACTCTATTTCAACCCTGAGATCACGGCTAGACCAGACAGGTGGAGTGAAAGAGGGACAGAGGGAGGAGGAGAGAGAGAGAGAGAGAGAGAGGAGAGGAGAGAGAGGGAGGATACTTCTCGTCTTCCTCCGCTGAGTAATCATGCCTGACTCTGGGATCGGCCTGCTAGTAACACAACACACACATTACAGAGCCAGGCATATCCTCTGTTGTGTAGACATGAAACTTATTTAATACAGTCCTTAGTTAAAAGTGGACAATACTGACCAAAAAATACAACTTTATAGTGAATATGACAGGACAGACTCTATAGTTAACATCATTATATTTAAGGCTTTACTAAAAATCTTGCCTATTTTTTTTTTTTTTGTTTCAGTTTAAATTTTGACTTCCTGGTTGGACAGGGGTAGCAGATGTGACATATGCAGAGGTAATTTCATAACTGTTACCTAGCAACCATAATGTTAACAAGGGCCAAAATGTGTCTAAATTACACAATATATATAATTTCACTGATAAAAATATAACATAACATTTAATATAACACATATATTTGTTGAATCGGTGTTTAATCATATCTTAAATTTCAGTGCTGATGACATAGGTAGAGGTATTATGTTTTAGAAACTTCTGTATTTTTGTACTTTTCTTTGATAAATACTAACTACAGCTACTAGCCAACTAAGTGAAGTATCAGTTAAAAAAACACATCATTTGGATTTTATTATAATTTGGGATTAATGATGGTATATTGAATGAGATTATGGCAACTCTTCCAAAATGTATTGCACAAAAAATTTATACACAGCAAAAAGTAATCATAAAAGTATCACACAGTACCCTTATAGACGTTTTTTAAGTTTTGATTTTAGCCAGCGTTTGTGTAGCCTTTTACAATATTTTTTTGTAAATTGAAAATATATATTCTAGTATTCT